GCGTGCGTGTCTGAGTCAGTGTGTGTGTGTGTGTACGCGTGCGTGGGTATCTGAGTCAGTGTGTGTGTGTGTGTGTGTGCGCGTGCGTGCGTGCGTGCGTGCGTGCGTGTGTGTGTGTGCGTGAGCGCGAGATTGTGTGTGTGTGTGTGCATGTACACGTGAACATGTGCCCGTGTGCGTGTGTGCGAGATCTGTGGTATCACATTTTCTCACGTTTCGTCAAATATTTACGGCCGGTCGTTAACACTAGTGTTGTGCCACGGCCGAAATTACAGGACTTTGTTCTTAGCAGGAAGTTAGATTTTCGGAAATGAGGTGTTAATGGTTTCGGGAAATCCAATAGCAATCGTATATGGGAAGCAGGCTGTGCCGTCGCTATGTTGAATTTTCACACTAGTAGCCGTCTGCGCACATTTACAGCTTCGAAATTCCTGCCATTGGGCTCTACCGCGCACCAGACAGTGCGAAACTTTCCAAGGACCTAAATTCCAATGCCACGACACACGACCACGTCTTCACCATATACTACCAGCGACGGACGCAGAGTAAGACACCCCACCCGTGCCGTTAGACGCTCGCGCACGAACACGTGTGTGCCCTTCCACCACCCACACAAATCCACACATCTACACTGTCGCACAAACACACCCACCCTACACTGACACAAATCCACACACCTCTACACTGTCGCGCGCACGCACGCACGCATGCACGCACGCACGCACGCACGCACGCACCACACACACACACACACCCTACCACCCTCACAACTGCGCTGCATACCGTAACCCGGTGCCAACATTAACGCTACCACACGGTTCAACGCTGCCAATTTCCCGAACCCAACACGTAGCCGGCGTTGGACTTTGGTGATAAATATCGCGTCGCACGCACGCACGCACGCACGCACACACACAAACATGGCTGTGACCCACTCATTGTTGAGTGAGCGTGTGGCACGTGTGGCCGTACGTACCTGGTCGCTGGAACAGACTGTAGGCTGGCTGTGGTGGCGGCCTCGTTGGAGCCGACTTAGTTCGCTGGATGCCACCCTTCTGACAGAAATAAGACAACATATAGTCGCTAATCACCGTACAGTGTCTGTGAAACCCACGAAAAATGCTTCCTAGAAGAAGAAAGCCGGGTTTCAAGATAAAATGGAAGCATGTTGACCTTTCTCATTCATAGACTGGAGCTTTATAGGCTGCATTTGAGAAAGTCATAATTTTACGGTGTTTCTGTCAACGGTCTATAAGAAAAACTTATGTTAAAAACAGAAGGACGAATGTTAAGAATGATTGGACCATTTTCGGGAGCGGGGTTCGCACACTCTAGCAGAACGTTTTTCCAGGAATTTTCCCAGTAGTTCCCAGGATTTAAGAAGTCCAATTTCCTCGACCTAAAGACTTCAGCTGAACATAATCCTCGCTTCGCCCTTTTAACGATTATTGAACAAACTCTCGCACGAAGCAAATTTCATCGCCTATTAGACACGACGGATATGTTCTCTACAGCAAGAACTATACATCTCGAACCAAACGTAATAACGCCAAATATTCCACGACAGCCACGGACCGCAGCCCACGAACTTTCGAGCGTTTTCCCGCGACTGGCCCCGACACTTCGCAATTCTAGGACTTCCCAGCGCTCCATACCCAAACCCTGTAAACGCCCCGTGCGCACGCCCCGTAAGGGGGGGGCGCCCCGCGCGCACGCCCCGTAAGGGGGCGCCCCGCGCGCACGCCCCGTAAGAGCACGCCCCGCACGCACGCCCCGTAAGGGAGCGCCGGCGGGGGCGATGCGAAACCCGGACTCGCGCGCGTGAGCTTGCACTTACATCGAGGTTGGCCGGCCGCGGCTTGTTGAACGACTGTGAGAGGAAGGGCCGCTGTAAGGTGGCGAGTGGCAGCGACACGAGGCCCTGCTTGGGGAAGGGCATGCGCGGCACGACCTGGCCGGGGAGGCGACGCGACGCACGCATCACGCCCGGCGACACGCCCGGCGGCAGCAGCTTGAAGTCGGCGGGGAAGCTGGCGGCAGCGGAGAACTGCGGAGGAAACCTGGAAGAGAGAGAGAAAGAGATGTATATATAGAGAGAGAAGCCGAATTGCGATTAGAGATCGTGTTAGAGGTCACTTCTATAAAACGGACACCTGTCTATAAAGATGCTGTTATATAATGCAGTTATACGTATAATATTTCGACGTATAACAAAGGCAGTTATGCAGACAATGAAGCCACCTCTATTGAATGGACACCTGTCTCTATAAAGCACACTTGTAAGTTTTCCTCTTAATGATTTTTATACATAGGTTATTATTGATAGTTTTTTCCTATATCCAAAAACATCGCATGATGCACGTTAATACTAATCGGCTCAAATTTCTAGTTTCACGACGAATTCGAAACCGTTTCACTCAGTTTTTTCCCCAATTTCGCGTGCGTGCGTGCGTGCGTGCGTGCGTGCGTGCGTGCGTGCGAGCGTGTGTGTGTGCGTATGTGCGTGAGCGTGTGTGTGTGTGTGCGTAAGTGTGCGTGCATGCATATGTACGTGAGTATGTGTGCGTATGCGCGTGAGTTTGCGTGGGTGCGTGCGTGGGTGTATGCACGCGCGTTAAGACGTACGAACCTAATGATTGACCGACGACTAGAAAATCTTTCGAAGCATTTGTAAGATTGGTGGTTTTCAGCCAGTAACACGAATCGCTGCTGCGCTCCATTTCAGAATCTGACTTCAGTGTCGGCTCAATGGATCACGACATAAACAACAGACTCGAAAGTCTTTGCCTCAGCGTCACTGAGCACGCATTAGCAGGTAATTAACGCGTCTAACTGAAACTAATTTGCCGTAGTTTGGAGAGGGCGTGCCAGAGATGCCAACCACTACGATTTATCCATATTTTATACGAATTTCTATTCCTTTTGCACCACTACGACCAGTTTGTATTAAACTACGAATTTCACTGTGATCGGGCCAAAAAAAATTTTGTCATTTTTTGTCAATTTATTGTCATTATTGACCCTCAGAATGCAGGAAATTGCATCTCAGAGTCCAAAAATTTTCTGGGGGGCATGCCGGACCCCCCTAGCAAACTCGGGTCACTAGGTCACCCTCTAACTACTAATTTGATGGCCAGAAACTACAGATTGCTTCAAATATGTGTTGGCATCTCTGGCGTGCCTGGGCTCGAGTTTCACCGAGACATTGACTGCTGGGAGTGTGATGGTCTCCCTCCTCAATTTCTGTGGTGTCGCTGGAAATTGGTGGATGTCAAGTATTGGCTAGAGTTGGGGAAATAGGGCGTCTCAGTTCACTAGAACATTTGTGTCCTAGCGAAGCGGCATCCAGGGGCATGCACCGATCTTTTCCTGGATTTTTACACGTTATAAAGAATGGGAAGTGGTCCTTTTTCATAGAGTATTAGGAGGCAATAATACAAATTGAAAATGCAGAGTAAAGCAGGTATACAAAGTGGAAATAAAAAAAAAACTGCGTATTATATATTTATTCGCTGAAATAAGTGCATGGCCGCCGTGAAATGACTGCAAGTTGGCTAATATCTTCGTCGTTCCCCATAGCAATGAACTGTCTAGGCTGCTCGACCTGGTTTGCGTCCATGTCATTCAAGCGAATCTCATGTTGTAGTTGTATTTCACTTACGTAAAAGAGTGGCCCAGATAACCGCCCACGTTCATGATTCACTCGGTACCAGCTTACTGCCGTGCCCTATAAATTCTGTTTAAACCACAGGCAACACTTTCCTCACCCTAAAAAGTCAAGAATTTGATGCCCTGGCTCACGTTACATCTCGCTATGTCAGTCACTAACGTTGAGTTATTTCACACGTAGCCACAACACTGGCGTGTCTCACGTAGTAATTGGTTTTTACTTCAGCTGCGATGCTGCATTCTAAAAATAATGCTTAAAGGAATAATAGGTCCATTGATTATGCAATGTTGACGAATGCTAGAGTAACTGGCACCTTGTGTAGTTAATAAGTACATTATGATTACTTTATAGTCAAACGCGTATTAGTTTGTCCAATATCACTGCTGGTTAGATTACAAACAAGACTTGAAATTGGTTGTTGATATGTATCAGCGTATCATTTACGTGCCGTAAATGTTAACCAGGAGTCAAGCGATGGCGTAAACATTTGTGCGGCCCGTATGTTTTGGGCGCCAGATGAAACGGAGTTGTCAGCGGTGTACCCACGGCCACGGACTAAACATGGAAATAGAGTAAAACACACGTACTAATCACGGACGCACGTGGACAGCCCTGACAAAAAGTTCCTTATCACGAGCGTCCATTTTTACGAAATCACTGATGATAGCATTGCGTACGGCCGAGCATGCGTGCGAAAATGTCCGGTGCACTATAAATCTGTATCACACCCGCTTCGCCGGCAGCGGTTTGAAACTGTAAACAACTGATTTTTGGACTGTGGATTTCAATTGGACATTTCTTAATAACCAGCAGCGATATTGGACAAACTAATACGTGTTTGGCTATAAGGTAATGTACTTATTGACTACACAAGGTACCAGTTACTCTAGCATTCGTCAACATTGCATAATCAATGGCCATATTATTCCTTTAACTACACAAGGTGCCAGTTACTCTAGCATTCGTCAACATTGCATAATCAATGGACCTATTATTCCTTTAACATCGGACAGCCACAGTCGACATTTTGGCACGTTTAGAAAACTCGAACAAACTTGTATATATTTACCGGCGTAGCAACGGTATCTAGGGGGAGGGGGCGTGGTAATCTTGCATGCGCAAAGAGGTCAGTTGCGAATTGGCTGTGGAACTGTTGGTTTTTAGGGTCCGTGCCATTTTCTTGTTTTTTTGTCCCTGCAGATGGCGCTGAGCGCAGCAGTACTGGCTACTGAGCAGATGCGATGAGGAGGAGGGGAGCCCTCTGCGCCGCCTCCGCCGCCGCCGCCGCGCGGCGATGCCACTGAGTTTTCTATTGTTTTTTACCGTGTTGTGTGTTGAGTTACCAGCCTCTGGCCAGGCTTTCGTGTTGTGAAAACGTCTTGCGTAGGGGAGCGAAAGTGAGAGTGGAGAAAGAAAGCGAGAAAAAACCCACAAAAACAAGAAAAAAGACGTGCGCTGTTCCGTGTAAAAAAAAGCCCAAGTGATGCTTTCTAGTCTAGCAGCGTCCGAGTGGAGGAGGTCGCCCAGGTCGGAGGTCGCGAGGCGTCCGGGGACCCGTTGTCGGAAACTAAAATTCAATCTGAACATCGGTCACGACACGAACCTTTCCTTGGAGACAGGTTGACGGAATTTCGTTTCGTAATGCTGCGTTATATACTTAAGTAACGAGCGGTCTATGAGGAGAAGTTTGTATGAAGACCAGCGGTTGGACTTGTCTTACTACCGACGATGGGGTCTGGGTTTTCGTGCTGGTCCTTTTTCGTGGCTTCAGAAGCAAGAGCCAACGGTACTTGCTCGTCGTGGATGCTGATCGATCGGCCGACGGTCGCGTGGGGGGGCGAAAAGGCGCCGTCCGTCGTGCGTTGAGACCGGATATTTTTGCAGGGGAAGGGTGGTGTGGGGAGGGAGAGGGGAAGGGAGGCGACTCCTTTAAGACTACCAGCATTTATCGCTTTTTCCGCCGTCGACGGCTCAGGTGACGTAAGAAGCTGCTGGGGTCAGCTACGTGTGTCATGGCGGCACGCGAGCAAGCGTGAGGTCGCTGCGCGTACGTTAACGTTACGACCGCTCGCGTTCGTGTTGTCGCGAAGAGTTAGTGAGTCCACACATATCACCAGTTAGAGTAGCCTTAGTGTGTTTGACACGCACGTGCGGCACACACAGACGCACACACACATACTCACTCTCACTCACACACTCACACACTCACTTAACCAGAGATGCGTAGTGTTTCAGTGTGATACGCACATACCCATACACATCATACACGTTTAGAAATATACGTACGCAGCATGCATTGTCCGTCATCTTACGTTGTTCATAGTCGCGTGGTAAAGAAAGACGAAAGCTGCTATGATTTTAATATATTCTGTTAACAGATAATGCCAGTATGAAATGTCGTCCAAGGCGGCCGAACGATGATTCGCATGTTTAATTAATCGCGTTGTTAAAGACACAAGAAAGCTCAATGTTGAAGGCAAATACTTTCGAGCGCCTCGCCCACCCAAGGTATTCTAATTGAATGTGGGGGCGCTCCAGTTTGCTAGAGAGAAAAATTGTGTGAGCATTGGCAGTTAGAGTCGAGTGGTCTGCGTGACTGATGTGTTGACATTGTGACACAGTCGGTGTGACCGTTGTCCCATGGGAAGGACGGGACGTGGTCACCGAGCAGGCACAAGGTCAAGGTCACGGGGTCGACAGCTGAGGTGTGACGTCACAGTCGTGGTGCACCGGTTGCGATGACGTCCAGCTTTTGCGTGCACGAGCGGCAAAAAAACTGTTCGACCGTGGTTTCCCGCGTGTTTTCTGTGGATCCATATAGTAAGAGAGAGAGAGAGAGAGAGAGAGGGAAGAAAGCGAGACAGAGCGAGAGAGAATATGGGGTACTACAGAGATTCAGCATGCACTGTGCCTGGCGAAAACGCACGAGCGCCGAGTATTTTTCAGAGCAGCAATTATTTCGGATCGTCTTGATTTCGGTGGTTTTCAAGTATCGATATGATTATTTACATTGCGAGTATATAATTCTGTATAGAGAGCTGCCGGTGTTTTTTTTCTGGTGCGGGGCGTGCTGAGAACGAAGCACAGCTCGGTAGAGTCACACGGTTATATTGTGTGATATGAATTCATGGCCTATGATGCAGTCGTCAGTGAAAACTCTAACGCCAATCATTATTATTAGGTTACGAATGTAATATTTTATATGTATACATAGTTTAGGTATATGCACAGTTAGTACTGGGGGCCTTTGCGCCTTCCGTAGATTTGATGTTGAATTCTACTGCTGTGCAGAGACTTGAATTGTTTTGTTCTGAATGTTGTGAAGTCGACAGTATTAAGAAGCTGTGTGTGTGTGTACGTGCGCGCGCGTGTGTGTGCGTGCGCGCGCGTGTGTGTGCATGCGTGGATGCGCGTGCGTGTGTGTGTATGTGCATTCTTCGTGTATCGTATATAGGGTTCTGTCGAAAGCAGAAGGGTTAAGCAACCTCATCAGTCATTACTTTTGTATGTCAGGTCAGGCCCTGGCAACGTCGTGGACTGGTACTGCTACTACTACTACTACTACGTATGATCGTGGACCAGTAGAGAGCGAGAGAAAGAGAGGGAGAGAGAGAGAGAGAGAGAGAGAGAGAGAGAGAGAGAGAGAGAGAGAGAGAGAGAGAGACAGAAAGAGAGAGATGGAGACACACAGAGGAAGAGAGTAGGAGAGAGGAAGAAAGAAAGAGAGAGATAGAGAGAGCTTTACCTGACATCTAGGTTCAGTGTTGTAACATATTGGCGTTCAGTGCCAAGTTTCTTTAGTTTTCTTAAACTATCAAGTTGGACCAGATGCACACGGCTTCAATCAAGGTTCTTTGATTATGTCTTTCTAGACCAATCTCCCCTCTCTCACTATCTCACTATCTCCCCTCTCTCACTATCTCACTATCTCCCCTCTCCCTCTCACACTATCTCACTATCTCCCCTCTCTCGCTATCGTTGCCCCCACCCTTCCTTTCTATTCGTCTGATTCGTTTATAGATAGATGGATCCATCGGAGGATCCATCGTGGATGGTTTCCATTCTCCTCCTTTATCTCCCTCTCTCTCTGTGTTAGGCTCGCCCCTCCTCTCTCTTTCTCTCTCTCTCTCTCTCTCTCTCTCTCTCTCTCTCTCTCACTCACTCTCTCTCTCTCTTTCTCTGTCTCCTCACAAAGATGGAGGTATATTGCATTTAGAGTTTTCAGAGTTTCCAACTGAGATATTTTGATTGCGGTTGTTCACCAATGTTATCCACATGCGCTCTCGTATGGCGTATACAGGAACCGCAACTTTAACTGAATACCGTGGAGCGAGTTTTCAGTACTGTGTATGTATGTATGTATATGTGTGTGCGTGCGTGCGTGCGTGCGTGCGTGCGTGCGTGCGCGCGCGTGTGTGTGTGTGTGTACCCCCTCCGTCAGTGTTATCGTCGTACGGCCATCGTATTGGGTGGCTCGTGTCACAGCTGTCACAACGCTGCAGTGTCGCGTAGCGTGACAGCATCGTCGTTTCCTCATCGCCAATATACATTCAGAACTCGAGCCGCAATCACAACCGAAGTTTTTATTTTCGTATTTACCTTGATGTGCAACTGGGTTTGCTTGGCTTGATCGCGCGACGCTCTCGCGTGGTGCTCTCTGTTGGCAGCGGGCGCAACGAGCAGCCATCATTTTCTACAGGTTGTAGCAGGTAATCGTTGTGAAAGAGGTCGAATTATTGTGTTATTGTTAATGTACTAAACAAACATTTAAAAGTGTATGTAAGAATGTACGTGCACAGTGCTGTCCATTTTAGAAGTTTTATTTGCTCCCTAGAAAAAGGTGTGCGCACGTATGTGTGCGGGCGTACATGTATGTGCATGTGCATGTGCGCGTGCGTGCGTGCGTGCGTGCGCGTATGCGTAGTGAGTGTGATAAATAAGGAGGGGTGAGAGAATGATAGATTGATAGAGAGAGGGGAGAAAGAGAGAGGGATTGAGTGAGTGAGTGAGTGAGTGAGAGAGAGAGAGAGAGGGAGAGAACACAGTAACGAGGAAACTGTTGCGTATATTAGATGTCAATTGTGTAATGTCAGCTGTGCACTCCTCTGAGAGGAGTCAGATAAGGGGCCCACCTGTTAGTGTTGTGTTGCCATGGATACTGGCTGTCTTTCTGCCGCTTCAGTAACAGGTGTACCACTTGCTTGTTTGTTGGTTCACAAAGAAATCATACCGTATAGTGAGTGATTCATACGAAAGTCGTAGCTAACCGTAAGCTGTCGCGTTTGTATGTTGGGATTTGATAATCTTGTGACTGAAGGCAATTTTGTAAGGTATACTATTTTCGAGAGCTGTAAAGGTTCTGCTATTTTCACCAGTTAGCCGATGACAACATATGCTATGTTTTTTATTGTGTCGCATACCGGTATGAAAGATCGTATATATTGTTTTTATACATTTACCGTCGATCATAGTTATTCTATTCATCGTTCGCGTGGATGTGTTAGTGTATTACGTGTATCTAACGAACGCGTTAACGAGACAAGGCCAATGTCGCGTCGAGTGCGCATGCGCGAGTACGTGAACATAAAACTGGTCGGATGTTCATGCAGTCTGTTCCGCCAAACCTTTAGGTGTCAGGTACGTTCCTATTGGTTCGCCGCCAAACCTTTAGGTGTCAGGTACGTTCCTATTGGTTCGCATCCCCGTCGTCGCGTGGAGGGAGCGTGTTGCGCGTGAAACCGCTATAAGCGAGTGTGGTTAAAACTAAACGAGGCAGCATTGGGATCTCACCTCTCGCTGTGGCCAGCCCACAGTGTGGAAGCAGAAGAGAGTAGTTTGAAGGTGAAGCCGGTACTGTTTCTTGACGTGGGTTAGGCAAGACGATGGATGGTACGGGGGAGAAGGTAACAGGACCCAGTCCTGTCCTCTTAGATGCTACTATTTGTTGCTATCATGAACGTACATCAGCACCGCATCGACGACAGGCGATTTGGTTCTTGATGATTTACGACACGGTAATGCGACGAACGGAAGTAACCCTCACAAAGGTCACGCCGCTCGATGACGTACGTGACCCCGATGACGTTTCCGCCCGTCCGTCGCGTTACCATTTCGTAAGTCGAATCTGACTCGTGTAACGGGCGCGTGCGTACGTTTTTGGGTGGTCATCGAATACTAACTAGGACGACCCTTCACTTATTCGTGGCAGTTTTAGGGTCTGCGAGGTGCGGTCGGTGTATGGATGGTTTAGAATTGTGTATTGACGTGATGGTTGTCACTTGCATCGGGAATGCATGCTAAGCACGCGCCTTATTACGAACCACGTTACGCACAAGAAACGTGCTGTTTTACGGTGTACGTCGGTATTGCGTCGTTGAAGATCGAACAGTTGGAAAAAGATAACTACATATATTCATTCGAGTTACGACATCGATGGGGCGTGATCTGGTTGTGTTGCGTCGTTTCATCACCCGGTAGTTCCCGATTTTGAAACCTTTTTTGATTAGAAGGCGTGACTGGTTCTGCCGGTAGGATGAGCTTGCACGATTGTCATTCGTGGCCACGTTGTTATAACGTACGTCGTCGTGAAATTGCGTGCAGCGAGTTAAAATTGTAATGTATAAGAAGAAATATTGCTGTATGAACTGATCAGTCGAACCGAAACGAAATGGGAGTGAGGAGTTCCGTTGTGTATAATATTTGCTCATGTTGGTTTGTTTTGAGTGCTACTGTATTGTACCTGCTATTTGTGGTATTAAACAGACGCTTTATCCTCCACACACTTTGTTTTGCTCTTTATCGACAAATGTTCGTCTTTACATCATGTGAAATTCTCAATATTAGACTTGCCCAACACCCATACTAGACAAATATGTCTTCGCTGTAAGTTTACAGAAAGCTGTTAAGATAAAAAAAAAAAACTGAAATCGCAGCTGCGCAATCTTCATCGAATATTGGGTTAACTTTATGAAACATCGTTCCCATCATTTTGCCCCCAATCTACACGAGATCAGGAATGAGTAAAAACATATTAGTTGTTTTATAATATAATGTAATATGATTAATAAACAAATTCGTAATAATATACATAATATAACAATATTTGTATATTTATATTCAGTCCTGATAACGTTGACGTTACAAAATGGTAGGATAATGGTAGAGAATTGTGTTGCATTTAAATGAATTACGGGAATTCACGCGAATTGTCGTCTACGGTAAAATAACGACCTCGGGAGTGAATACAAACTGCGTGCGTGCGTTCATCCGTACGTGCGTGTGTGTGTGTGTGTGTGCGTGTGTGTGTGCGTGTGTGTGTGTGTGTGTGAGTGTGTGCGTGCGTGTGTTTGTGTGCGTGCGTTCATCCGTCGGTGCGTGTGTGTGTGTGTGTATCTCGCGGGCGCGAAATTGTTTTGGCATTAATAATATCGTTAGCCGTGTGTTGGCACGTTTCTCTTCGTTGTCCAACCCACATCCTAGTACACGTGCCTCGTTTCTGAAGTTCAAACAATAATAAAAACAAGTTCTAGAAGGTAGGAAATGCGCGCTTGCATTGCAAAATAAGGCGCTGTCATTACGTGGTCATTGTAGCCCGTCTAGATTAGATAAGAGCAGCCAATGTGATGGCTCAAGAATCGAGCGCGCAATATCATGCATGTAGTCGATGATGCTAGACTCAGCTGGAGACTACGCGCAATTCACAATTCACGGATGAGTGACAGGACGCATGACGTAATCACACATCTCCCGAATCTTGCGTGGGAGCCGAGCACCGGCGACATACGCATTCATATACATGTCACAATATTGAGTAATGTGTAAATACATACACGAACGAAAGAGTGAACGAATGAGTGAATAAACAAATGAATAAATAGACGTTCAATTTTTATTTAATAGAATAATTAATTATTCGTTTATTGTCAATTTGTTAGCCTTGCTACATCGGCGAAGGCATGTGCTGGTTGGTATAAGTGAATTAATGCTAAGGAGGAGAAGTAAGAGGGGAACCTCACATTTGCGTCGTGTGAAAAACCTGTCAGGGATAACCATAAATATAATAAATGCATGGTATTTATAATACCATGATTATATTTGTATATATATATATATATTTTTTTTTTGTATATATATTATTGTATATATATTTGTATGATTATATTTGATTATATTTGTATATTATGGTGTTAGAAATGAAATACGTGTATTTATGACCTAGTTGACCTGCCGATCATCGTACAGGTGTATAGACAGATATAACCTGCGCCACTCACTTTCAGATATACATGTACTTATAAAGCACGCATACATGCATGAATCACTTGATGATTCGTTCACCTGATTCACATCTGGTTTCGTCACGTGATCGCAACCATCTCTCTCTCTCGCGAGATTTAACACGTAGACCAAAGAGATGTATGTGCCTGGGTGGAGGGAGACCACTGGTTAAGTATCTACATGTGAAAAGTTACAAGGCGAATAATAAGAATGGCAACTAATGTAAGTGAATGCGATAGCTATAGATATATTGTCGAACCGCGAACTCGTTGTATCAATCACAAGTTTAACGACTATGCGTAGGATATAATATCATATCATATAATATCACTATGCCTACAGCTAAATGACGTTCTTCGCGGTAGGGTAGGCCTACATACACTATATGCATGGTTATGTCGTGTTTCTTTACACTCCTCGCTACGAAAAGTGGAAACATGTTAACAAAATGAACTAATAAGAAGGTTTTAGACTGTTAGCATTATTTTCCGTAGAATCGTTGTTCAGACATTCGGACAATTGATTTAGAATTAAATTTTAGAACCACTTATTCGACTGACTACCAGGTGATAATATTACAGTGAGAGAGAGAGAGAGAAGAGGGCGAGAAAGAGGGAGACGAAGCGAAAGGGACAGAACGAGAGAATGGGATGTGGGGAGAGAGCGAGTGCGAAAATAGTTGGAGCAGCGGAAGAGAGGGAATGGAGAATAGGGAGAGCAAGAGAGAGAAGGAGGGTAAAAAGAGTGGGCGACACAGAGAGAGGGGGAGAGAGAGAGCGCGCGAGAGAGATGAGGGGATAGAGAGAGAGAGGGTACGAGAGAAAGAGAGAGGTAGAGAGAGAGAGAGAGAGAGAGAGAGAGAGAGAGAGAGAGAGAGAGAGTGTGTGTGTAAGAGAGAGAGAGAGAGCGAGAAAGGGACACCCACGCACGCACGCCTCATTTGCCGTATATGTCATCAACAATAACCATATTCAGAATCCTTAAGATATTCCTAACCTAACGCCAACCCTAGTCCAAGCTATGGTAAATATGTAGGCCAGAATCAATAGGCACTACTCTAGCCGTGTCTTGTAAAAATGGTGCTCATGATTGAGTAATAGCTAACTCCTTTGATAGTGATAGATATTCTTTGATAGGGTTTTCCGATAGAAAAAGTAAGGGCTAGTAGTTGATGATTCTCTTAGCTCTACATGACGCATAGAGTTCAAGTCAACAAAGCAAGCAACATATATTTGGATTAATCAGGATATTATATAGACACATAGACGAATTCAATATGAAGTACCCATTTCAGGCGTTAGTTCGTCTAAATACTGCAAAATGTTAGAACATATTTATTCATGCTTCACAAACTTGAAGGGTAGTAGTCACTAACCCTTGATTCGTTGTCCGACTTTCGTTATATCCGGCGTAAGTTCATATCAAAAACATATTTGATCTGTGCACATCAAATTTGGTTTTTAGTGCCAATCGCTTCGATGGAAGACACGAAGAATCAAAAAGTTTTCGGGGCAACGTCGTGCAACGATTGGGTTGGAGAGGGAGGGAGAGGGAGGGAGAGGGAGAGAGGGAAGGAGAGCGCGCGAGAGAGAGCGCGAGAGTGAGAGTGAGAGTGAAAGAGTTGGTTTTTAAAAACTTGGTATTATCTATTGCATTTCCTACTATTGTGTATTACACAAAAATAGTATTTATTATCTCTTTAACCCGCTAGCCCGTGCAACTAGCAACTACCTAAGCAGATATTCCATGTGAGATCCTGATTGGTTGTCTGCTTTTTCTTGTCTGAGTTCATATCAAATACACATTAAATCCATGCACATCAAATTTGGTTCCTAGTGCCAATTAAGAGCCGCGATGGAACGGAGAAGAACTCAACAATTTTCGTGGGCAACAGTCGCGCAAAGTCGATTGGTGGTTACCGGTCTTACAGTTTGAATCATCACGCAGGCAAAATGTGCCGAGCTATACGTACGCTATTATTTATATAGCGGCGCCACGGCGCACCGCAACGCGACCGCGCAGCCAAGCAGCCGACGGCGCACCGCGGCACGGCTACGGCACAGCACACACGCGCAACGCACGCACGCCCGCACGCGACGCACGCAGCACGCACGCGACAGCACACACACGGATCACACATCAAGCTATCTATTATGTTTTAAATAGAGACATTAATAAAATAAATTTGCTGGCATATATTGTAGTGCATACATGTAAGCAAATATGACATCATCCCGCCACCTAGCTAGAGACATATTGATAAAGTTCGCATATATAAATAAATTATTCACTTGTATATTCGTCACTCCGTGCTTCTCTCTCACGAGATAACTTACGCTCAAAATACACGCGGGCCGAAGCGTTCCCTAGCTGTTATCTCCGTCGTTGGTATCGAGGATCTAACTGTGACAACTTCGAGACGCAAAATAATTATAAATGCTGTTAGATAATCTTTTTGGTAGAGCACACCTTAGAAATTATAATTTTATTTCTTTCTGTAAGTGAAATTTATAGGAATTCTTGCTCAACTGAACGACTATGACGAATTCAGGCGCTATAGCAGCGCCACACACATTACATTCTGAGCTGATTATCGTATCATATATTTGGTAATTGGATTGATATACATATGAATTGATATATAGATAGATTCATATTTCGATCGATTGATATATAGATGTATTGATATATAGATGGATTGATATAGGCATGGATTGTTATATAGATGGATATGTATATAATATATATATAATATATAAGAGAAGAGAGAGAGAGAGAGAGAGAGGAGAGAGAGAGAGAGAGAGAGGAGAGAGAGAGAGAGAGAAGGAGAGAGAGAGAGGAGAGAGAGAGAGAGAGAGAGGAGAGAGAGAGAGAGAGAGAGAGAGAGAGAGAGAGAGAGAGAGAGAGAGAGATGTGGATGGGATGAATGAATGGATGAATGCGTGGATGGATGGATAGATGGATGGAATGGACGGACGGATATATATATATATAGATATTGATGTAGATATTGTATGTAGATATAGATATAACGATATAGGTATAGGTATATATAGATAGATATATATAGTATACGATAGATATAGTTATATAGTATAGGATAATGTTACTAGAAATATATAAATATCGATCATATAGTAAAGATATATAATATATCGATGGTATAGACTATAGAGTATAGACCATAGATATATAGATTATAATATTGATGTAAGAGTATTATTATAATATACGATTATAAGTATAGGTATATGAATAGAATACTAAGATGAGATAATCCAGACCAGATAGATAGATAGATAGATAGATGAGCTAAATATATAGAGATATATAAATATTACGATATAATAGATCATAGATATATAGACTATAAATGGTATAGAATAAAAGAGAACTAGACGAGTGAGGATATGTAGAGTATATATATCGATGTAAGATATTAAATATAGCGAGGTACTCGCATATAGGATATATTGATATACGAGAACAGTAATAGAGATTAGTCCATGGCCAGAGATAGATACTACACCTAGAATACACCATAGATATAGATATAGGGATATAGAAGATATAGATAGATAGATAGATCAGATAGATAGATAGATAGATAGATAGATAGATCAGATAGATAGATAGATAGCTAAATAGATCAAATAAATAAATAGATAAATGATAAATAGATTAGATAAATATATAAATATATAGATATATATGGTATAGAGATGCACCGAGATAGGGAGAGAGGGAGAGTGAGATAGATAGATGGAGATAGATGAAAGATAGATGGAGATAGATGGAGATAGGGAGATAAATGGAGAACAGGGAGATAGTTAGATTAGATAAATAGATTAGATAGAATGATAGTATAGACTAGATAGATAGATAGATAGATAGATAGATTTAGATAGATAGATAGATAGATAGATAGATAGATAGATAGATATGATAGATAGATAACCGATAGATAGATAGATAGAATAGTAGATAGATAGATAGATAGATAGAGGGAGAAACGAAAAGAGAGAGAGAGAGCGAGATAGAGAGAAGAGAGCGCGAAAGAAGAGAGAGAGAGAGAGAGAGGGAGAGAAGAGAGAGAGAGAGAGAAAGAGAGAGAGAGAGAGAGAGAGTGAGTGAGAGCGAGAGAGCGCGAGAGTGAGTGAGTGTGTGTGAGAGAGAGAGTTAGTTTTTAAAAACTTGGTATTATCTATTGCATTTCATACTATTATGTATTACATAAGAAGATTATTTATTATCTCTTTAACCCGCTAGCCCGTGCAACTAGCAACTACCTATTACCTAAGCAGATATTCCATGTGAGATCCTGATTGGTTGTCTGCTTATTCTTGTCTGAGGTTATATCCAATACACATTAAATCCATGCACATCAAATTTGTTTCCTAGTGCCAAGAGCCGCGATGGAAGACCCGAAAAATCAACAAGTTTCCGAGGCAACGTCGCGCACCGATTGGGTGGCTACCGGTCTCTAGATATGAAGAAATGAGCAGAGCTATACGTACGTATTATTATACGATAACACGCACAATGATAGAATGAAAGATAGAGAAAGAAAGATAGAGAGGGAGAGAGATAGAGAGAGAGAGAGAGAGAGAGAGAGAGAGAGACAGATAGATTAATAGATTAATAGATAGATAGATAGATAGATAGATAGATAGATAGATAGATAGATAGATAGATAGATAGATAGATAGATAGATAGATAGATAGATAGATAGATAGATAGATAGATAGATAGATCTCTCTCTCTCTAAGAGAGA